TCTGAATATATTGCTCAAAAGAGTTACCTCTTAGGCTTGGCTGGTCTAGTTTATGAGGAAAACCTAAACAAGCTGGCCCGTTTATGAGGAAAACCGGGCCAAAAATCGTAAAATAGCAAGGCTAAAGGAAGAAGAGATAAAAAAGGACGCCCAAAACAAAGGCACACCTAGCTAGCAGACACAACGCCAATGCCATGAAAGACAAGTAGATGTGGGGTGTCGTTGAGGGGTCACAATACTAGAACTTTGCAAAGAACCTAACGCACCGCACTAGCGTGCGTACCGAGCCCCACCGCACAATTCAGGAGCATCGACAATCAACGAGTGCAATGAACACGAAACTTGACTATGAGCTCCGCCACGGAAAACTCAGGACGATTAGCAAGTTGGGAGGGCAACTTGCGACATCAATGAGAAAAGATGAACCGAGACATCACCAAGAGCACGAAGCTCACCGCAACACATGGGCAACCATGGGAGAGTTTTGAGTATTCAGAGCAACAAAGGCAAGACTCCTTCACAAGGGCTAAACAGATGGCTGCCCCACGGCACCAAAGGTACCGCAGCCGAACCCCAAAGAACACCACCAAATAGCCACCGTCGACCCCAAGCAACCGCACCACCACTGTCGGTGTCAAAATCGGCGGATCTCGGGTAGGGGGTCCCGAACTGTGCGTCTAAGGCTAATGGTAACAGGAGGCGGGGGACATGATGTTTACCCAGGTTCGGGCCTCTCAATGGAGGTAATACCCTACTTCCTGCTTGATTGATCTTGATGATATGAGTATTACAAGAGTTGATCTACCATGAGATCGTAGAGGCTAAACCCTAGAAGCTAGCCTATGATTATGATTGTTGTTGTCCTACGGACTAAACCCTCCGGTTTATATAGACACCGGAGGGGACTAGGCTTACACAGAGTCGGTTACGTACAGAGAAGGAGATCTACATATCCAAATCGTCAAGCTTGCCTTCCACGCAAAGGAGAGTCCCACCAGGACACGGGACGAAGTCTTCAATCTTGTATCTTCATAATCCAACAGTCCGGCCAAAGTATATAGTCCGGTTGTCCGAGGACCCCCTAATCCAGGACTCCCTCAGTAGCCCCTGAACCAGGCTTCAATGACTATGAGTCCGGCGCGCAGATTGTCTTCGGCATTGCAAGGCGGGTTCCTCCTTCGAATACTCCATAGAAGATTTTGAACATAAGAATCGTGTCCGGCTCTGCAAAACAAATTCCACATACCACCGTAGAGAGTACAATATTCCACAAATCGAATCTGCTGACAACTTTCTTAGCGTGACATCACTCCACGACCCGGTCATCATTTCAAACCGTTTTTCTCAACCAGCAACTGCACATATCGCGAGACGGTTTCCTTGGCACGTCTTGTTGAAACAGAGATCGTGTCCCCTTATCACGGGATTCTCATTAATACGGGTGTGGGTAACCCAACCACGCCATCAATCGTGGCGCTTGGGGAATAAGCGATTTTAACGAGCAAGTGGGGAGGCGCATAGTTTTTACCGCCTTTATAAAGAGATAGGGGTTCCCCTCTTTCACCCACGCATTCTTCCTCCTTCACTCATCCATTCTCGCACTCTCGAGCTCCAACGCCCAACTTCTCACCTTCTCCGCAAAGCCGTTCCAAACATGTCCGGAGCGGGAGGCAAGTGGATGGCCTCCTCCGTTACGGAGGAGGATATCACGAAGCTCAGGGAGGCCGGATACTTGGCCGCAGACATCGCGCACCGGCTCCCGGACGAAGGGCAGATTATCCCTACTCCGGAACCCCACCAGAGGGTTGTGTTTCTCGCCCACTTCGTCCGCGGACTGGGATTTCCCCTCCACCCGTTTGTTTGCGGGATTATGTTCTATTATGGGCTTGATTTCCATGATCTAGACCCAATTTTATCCTCAACATCTCGGCGTTTATCGTCGTGTGCGAGGCTTTCCTCCGCATCAGGCCCCACTTCGGCCTGTGGCTGAAGATCTTCAACGTGAAGCTGAAGATAGTGGTCGTCCAGCAAGCAGAGTGCGGAGGCGCCATGGTGGGCAAGATGCCCAACGTCGTCTGGCTCAAGGGCTCCTTTGTGGAGACCGTGAAGGGGTGGCAATCGGGGTGGTTCTACATCACTGAGCCACGCGACAGCAACTGGTTGGCGCCCCCCAGATTTCGATCCAGCATCCCTAGGCGGCTTACCTCTTGGAAATAGAAGGGCTTAGCCTGGGGTTCATCGGTGGAGCTGACCGGACTCCAGACCTGCCTCCAAAACATGATAAGCAAGTAAATCAAGCTTGTCAATGTGGTCCAGGTCATGCTCTTCTGCCGGATACTCCCGTGTCAAAGACGGGCATTCAATATGTGGGAATTGGACCTGGCCGAACACCAGACGCTGCGAGAGCTCTTCGGCACGACGCACAAGGACGTCTGGAAGGTGCTGTTCAAGGCCTCCGAGGTACCTCCCCCCTTACCGAGGATCACGGACTCAGCGCAAAGCGCCCTGCCAATCCGGTAAGCTTTTTATATCTCACAAGATGTTCCTTTCCCCAGTATAATCGTAGGAAGGATCTAAGCCTCCACGCCAATTTAACAGGACTGGGTAGCGATAGCGGAGCGGATTGATTGTCCGGCTCCACTGCCCGAGGATCTAGCTATGGCTCTCTTAACGGAGATGCTGCTTCTGGCGCCCTATAAGGTGCCGGAGAAGAAGGCCATGAAAAAGGCCGCGGGGACCAGAAAAGGTCTCCGACACAAGGTTGTATCGGACTCATCGTCCGAAGACGCCGAGGCGCGCTCCTCCAACAAAAACGCGGAGGAGGAAGAGGAAAGTTCTCCCCCCCAACCGGGGGGGGGGGACAAGAAAAGGAAGGCCGCCCCATCTGGGGAGGCCGAAGGGTCAAAGAAGGGAAAGACCCTTCTACTGGACCACTCCACCACAGCCGCCCACAACGACGAGGAGTTGTTTCCCAGGCACAAGCCCCTGGCGAAGTCGTAAGTATCCGGACACTATAATACTTCCGGCATGCTTTTCTTTATTGCTTCTGATCATGTTAAATACGATCGTGCAGTCCGCCCAAAGCCCACATCGAGGTATCCTCCTCGGATGGGCCTTTGAGCCTGTCAGCGATGAACAGCGATTCACGTGCGACGGCCACCACTCCTCGACCCGCAGACGACACCGAGGTGTTGCATCAAAGGATACCGGACCGGGGGGAGACCGTTCTAGAGACGCCCCATGGCGAAACCCCAGAAGCCGGGTACATGGGGGGAAGACCCCCATGGATTCTGATGACGGGGGCTGCCGCAAGTTTGGCCCCCAGCCGGATACTGCCGGAACCTCCAGTGGTTCCGGGTTCTGCCAGGCAGCCCCTCACTAAGGGGGGTGCGCCGTCTATGCCGATGACCTCTATCCATCCAGAGGCATCGAATGACTTGCTGGAAGCGCTTCGCGATGCTTCCATTGATGAAGAGCACCGCACTATTATGAGTGCGGTGGTCGAGAAGGTTTGGTCTGCCAAAAGTGGATTGACTGAAGCCTACGCCAGCCTCCTCATAGGCTTTGAGGTAAGTAATCAAATTGTGAGGAAATATCACAGCATAGACAGT